CACCATCAGCGCCAAGTTCCTGCTGGCTGTAACTGTCATTAAAGCGCCTGGCAGGGCGAATGAAAAATGACAGCGGAACTCAGTGGCTCCCAACGTTGACCTTGTATATTATTAGACTGACCTCCCTCTTTGGGTAGGACCATAGGAAGGGAGGGGAGAAAAGGCCTCATTTGATATCATCACAGTGCAAAGGCTGAGACTGAATCGGAGGGGGCTGGGGAAGGGGAAAAAAAAGATAAGGAAAGCCCGAGTCAAATTTATGCAAAACTAAATGGGTTTCTAATATTTAAGCAGAAGGGAGGGCCTTTGAGGATTAGCCTTTGAAAAGAGAAAATAATAATATTAAGGTGGGACATGGAGCTGCATCAAGCAATGACAAATATTATTTTTTTTTAATGATTTGTTTTCTCCTGATTCGTGGGAAGAGCAGGGCCTATGGGGTTTGAAGCAAACCCGGACTTTCTCTCAGATATGAAATGCCACACAGCTCCCTCAAATCCATGTGGCTGGGTTCTGTGGCAAGGCTGTGATTAAAGGCATGACAGATGGGATCTGTAGCTAATTCGGCTGGCACAGAGGTGCCACATTGAACCAATGTAGGTTGAAGCCAACGCTAAAATCTGTATAAAAGAGTACACTTTTTAATAAATGCATTTTATTTATTGGCGTATTGATTTGTTAGATTTTTACCCTGCCTTTATCACTTTATAAGTAACTCAAAGCTGCAAACATACTTAATACTTCTTCCTCTTACTACTTTTTGTGCATGAAGTTGCCAAGATAATTTGCTTATTTTTGGACCACCCTAAATTTGTTGCTACATGAGGGCATGAGGATCCAGTCTTCTCTCACATATACAAAATGCTGGCCTCATTAGCAAAGACTCCTAATGTGAACAAGGTAGAAGAATCTGAAGATCACAGTCTAGTAAGTCTTATTGTAGAGGTAGTAGTTGCTTAGGATCATAGTGTAACTGTAGTCACAGGAGCAGTTGCAGATATATTTTGAGCAAACCCGCCTCAAATAAAATCAGACAGACAGGTGCAGTGTGGAAATGAAATGAATATAAAGATCCCAAAATGAAAGTCAACAATAATAACAGCGGCAATAATATTTGAGAGGCAAGAAACTGGCTACAGAGGGAATTAAAGGCATGCTAAAGAAAGATAAGAATATTTCAGTGGAGCTGGGCAATTTCTGTCTTTCTTCAGTGCAAAAGAGGAAGGACAGACAAAGGGGCCATAACTGTCATTCTTGGGATGTAAATCCGAAGAACTAAGTCAAGCCTTAGTGACTGAGAAATGAAATGTATTGATAGAAATGACCAGGTTTCATGTTATCCATTTAAGAGTCTTAAAGAACTCTGGTGTAAAATTATAATTGTGTATCATAAATATTAAACATGCCCTTCAGCTTAGCTTCTGTACTAGGAGACTACAAAATCAATCTGAATAATCAAATCTAATTGGATTCCTTTAAGTTGATTGGATGATTTGGAAAGCTTTTGGGTTTTACTTTACTGTTTTCTGAGCCAATTCAGAAAATTAAATAGATCCCAAAATGAAGCCCCAAATAGAAATGTCGAACGGAGTTGCCTTAGTTTTCCGAACTGATTTGAATCAGATTGATTATTTGAATATAACTGGCAATTCAGTCTGATCAGAATACATCCCAGGGTATCAAAAGGTTGTTTTTTTTTTTTGAGAAAGTCCTTGAGCAAAATGTTTGAGGAAGCACCCAAAACTTTGAGGATTAGATGAGGTTCTGGTCCTCCGTTTATATACTCTAGTCTGGGTTAAGACAAGTGAAGGATTCTTTTGCTTCCCAGGTAAATAAATTCCTGGAAAACTTGCCAATTCTTGGCCCTGGACATATCCTACCTTCTCTTCTGCATGAGCTTGGGAAATTAGCTGTCACCTTATACTAAAGATGAGCTGTTTTTTTTTTCTTTCCTTTTTTGTTAGACTGCTGGTGAAACTGTGAATTAATTCATTATATTAGTAGTGAGTAAAATTGACTAGAATTGAAACTTAGGATATCTATTTTTGGATTTTTGAATCCTCTGCCCATGCTTACATGAACTCTTCCAAGCTCAAGAGGAGGCACACTAAAGTCCCTATAGTGTTTTTTAGTACACAGAAAATAGAATAACAGAGTTGGAAGGGGGCTTGGAGGTCTTCTAGTCCAACCCTGTGCCCTGTAGCATTTCTGACAAATGGCTGCCCAATCTCTTCTTGAAAACCTCCAGTGATGGAGCAATCAATCTTCCAGAGACAAGCCATTCTCCCTATCAGGAAATTTCTCCTTAGTTCTAGGTTGGATTTCTCTTTGGTAAATTTCTACCCATTACTTCTTGTCCTGCCCTCAAGAGCTTTGGAGAATCAGTTGACCCCTTCTTCTCTGTGGGAGCCCCTCAAGTATGGGAAGATAGCTCTCAGGTCACCCCTAAGCCTCCTCTTTGTTAGACTAAATAAGGCTAGTTCTCTCAGTCGTTCATCATAAGGATTATCCTTCAGGCCCCCCTATCATCTTTGTTGCTCTTCTCCTCACTCTTTCTAGGGTCTCAACATCTTTTTTTTTTTGTATGAAGCAACTTATTTTCTGGGTCCCTCATAGAGGTGATGGACATGTTGAAACCCTTGAAAGAGGCACTTTCAAACTGAGGTTTCCCTGGAAGCAAAACGACACTTCCTTTTTCGTCTGCCATTGTTGGTCCCTTTGCCAAGATGTGAACAATTGAAGTTCTTTTCCTTTCCTTTCCTTTCCTTTTTTTTTAAGAGAACGAATCTCAGAACATGGCCTCCCTAGCAGCTTCTTTGGTTGAAGCATTGATCTGATGTACTCTTTGGGCTAACTCCCGGCCTGAAGGAGAAGCATTTTATTATGAGTTATGACAAACTGCAGAGAAACAGGGAGAAGACTCAATAAGGAGGATCAGTAAGCTGGAGAGCGAGAGAGGCCGGGGTTGTGAGGGGGGAGGGAGAGAAAAAACCGCTCTTGATGGCTTTGAAGGCAGAGTGTAGATGACTTGAAATGATAGGTGTTAGTAGAAAGCTTGATATAATCAACAGGAGGGGAGATTTCAAACATGGCAGAGCGTTCTGGGAGCTGACGATAGAATATAACTTGCCAGTTGGGGGTGTCCTTTTCTCCCCTCTCGAATCAGATCACATCGCCTGAACAGGCTTCAGTGTTAATGTGTCGTCCCCTCTCCATAAGGGAGTGAATTGTATGATTACAGAAGAGCTCTACAACTCTTTGTTGCTCTCTTCCCGAAAGTGGAGATATTAGGAATGAAGAGGATTTTCCTCCCAAGGCTAGCATCTCTGCTGTGTGTGCAGCAGCAATCATCGCAAACACTGAAATAGGCCGTTTTTCTCCAGAGATCATATTCTTCTTAAAGATACACGGCGAGCAGATCTGTCAGGAGGCCTGGGCAGCCTGCCAAGATCTGAAAATCATTCTGGTGTTTGTGGAGGGACTCCAATACCTGCTCCATTTGATATTCTTCTCACTTGCAAATTACATTTTTCAAGGTAGACCCTTCCCCCCCCCCAGTACCAACAGCGGGAGAAATAAGAAGCTGTCAAAGAGAAAAGGAGGGTGGATCTATTCTCCAAAGCACCGGAGGGCAGGACAAGAAATAACAGGTGGAAGTTCATTAAAAACAGACCCAACCTAGAACGAAGGAGAAATTCTCCTGACAGTGAGAACAATTAATCAGTGGGACAGCTTGGCTTTCTCTGTTGAGGGTGCTCCATCAATGGAGGTGCTTCAAGAAGAAACTGGACATCCATTCATCCGGAATGGTATAAGTTTTCCTGCTTGAACAAGGGGTTGGACTAGAAGACCTCCAAGGTCCCTTCCAACCCAATTATTCTATGTTCTGTAGTATGTTCTAAAATAAAAATCTTTTTTGGGTGCCAAAATCTCACTGATGCTATAGTGATTGTTACCTTTTTTTCTCTCTGACATTTTAATTAACTTCTTTTTAAAAAAAGTGACTGCTTTCTTTTTTTCCATTTTTTTAAAAAAATCCTTGTATACATTAACTAGGCATTTTCTTTTAAACAAGATGGAACATGCTTTTAATTACAGCCAGCAGTGATCTTAATCATTAGGGTTTTTTTTCCCCTGAATTCTGAAGGAATTGCAGAAGGAATGGCCTATGAAGGTGCAGTGTGTAAATGTATAATGGGAATGAACTTGGGAGACTGGGCCCAAAAATCTTGCCTAGAGAATGGTCAAACGCCGGGGAAATTAGAAGGTCCAGGTAGTTCAAATGGGTCTAAAGATTTATTGTAAGCTTAAGCTCTCTACAAGAATCTGAACTAGTGGTAGATAAGTGTTAGTGGAATTCAAGGTGGGCTGGACTTAAATCTCTTGTGGGCATGAAGGGATTCGAGACTGATGACGCCTTTGACCCCTCCCTCCCTCGGGCTCAGTCTGGTCATCTCCTACAAAAAAGGTCAGATAAGAGACAGCATAGCACTCAGCTGGATAATGGGTGAGGCAAGAGTCTGGGGAAGAGATATTCCCTAGTGTCAGGTACAAGAAATCAGGAACTGGAGGTTGTTCAAATGAGTACAAATTTATTGCATGCTTTCACTCTACAAGAATCTGAACTACTAACAACCAAGGCAAAATGGAATTCAAGGAGGGCTGGAGTTAGGTCTCTTGTGAGCATGAAGGGACTTAAGACGATATGCTTGACTGCTCCCTTGGGCTCAGCCTGGTCATTTCTCAGGGTATAAAGGACATAGGGGCAGAGGTGGATTGGCAAAATTCTATTAATGCAACCTTACAAGAATATAGAATGAGGTCATCTGATCATGCTTCCTGGCTGGTCCATCTGGTAAGGTTGACAGAATCCTTTGGTAAGTCACAGTCTTTTCAAGAACCTTGAAAAGGAAAAAAATTAGCTTTGTCTGGAGATCAAAACTTGGCTCATGTCATTGATGAACACGTACGTAATTTTCTGTGCATCTTCTTTTGCATAGGGGCAATTCACGCTATGCGTACAGGGGCAGCACATCCTGAGAAAAAGATTACTCTGCGTATGACAAGAAGCGTCGGTTCTCATAAAACGGTTAATTCTCCCAAGAATACGCACAAGTTTCTCAATCCTTCCAAATTCCAACCACTTGGAAATGTCAACCGAACATACATGTTGACCCGAACAGAGACAAGATCTTTGGCAACTACACCAGCCTGGAACAATCCCTGCTTTATTTGCCCAGGAAAATGGCGTCCTGCACATTCTTCAACAGAGACTAAAGACATTCTTCTTAGAATCCAGGAATGCCTTTGTGAAGTCATGAACTTTTTCAGCCTTTGGTGCCAAAAGAAAGAATTCAAACCAGCATCCTGATACAAACCACTCAGCGCTGAATATTCTTACTGTATATTCACAACAGTGAACATTGGTACTTTAATTAGGCTTGCTGATATGCTGTCATTTCAGTGTTCGTGTATAATTCTTTAAAGCCCAACTAATATTGTTCTTTTTTCATTATATGTCTCCTTTTTCTCCTAGCCCTAGAAATAAACATCCTTGAACAATGAAATAAATCACAGAGTACAAATGAACTGTTGTTCCCCAGTCTCTCTCTCTCTCTCTCTCTCTCTCTCTCTCTCTTGACCTACCTTTACTTAGGTGTAAACTACAGGGAAGAGGCAGACAAAGCAAAGGATCAGAGCCAAAATTTGGGTGGAGACCCTCAAACGCTCTACTCTTGTTTTTTGTCCTTTCTTTTTTTGTCTCCCAAGCCATAGAAGCAGATTATTTTCTTACTCAGTCTCTTCCAAGCAAGCTTTGAATCAGTCTGAAGGTTGCATGAAATTTATCTCAGAACTGTGGACAAAGCCTATTTCCATCCGTTGTTAAGTGAGTTTTGTGCCCCGTTTTACGATCTTTCTTGCCAAAGTTGTTAAATTAAATCACTGCAGAAATGATTAAGTTAGTAACACGGTTATAAAGTGAATCCGGCTTCTGACTTTGCTTGTCCGAAGGTTGCAAAAGGCAATCCCCATGACCCAGGGACACGGCCACCGTCATAAATACGAGCCAATCAATCAGAACAGAGCTGGTTTCCAAGTGTCTGGATTTCGATCAAGGGACGATGGAAACACCACAACAGTCCTACGTGGGACAAACAGTCCTAAGTCACTTTTTTCACTGCTGTTGTAACTTCAAATGGTCACGAAATGAACTGTTGTAAGTGAAGGACTACCTGCATTAGATGAGGGTATCCATTGATTCTATGATACATTTGCATGCTTGTGCACCAGTGAACGGAGGAAACTCTAACCGGTCCAGAGAGATCTGCGTGTTTAGCTCTAGTCTTATACTGAGCATTATCCAGTCTGCATTTTTAAAATTTTCATCAATTTCCATACTTCCTATTAATTTTTTTTTAAAAAAAATACAGAGGTGCATGTCTATGGAGATTCTCAGTCATCAGGTCATGGTTGTCCCAAAAGTGCTTTTTCAAGAGGCAACTGGACCTTCTTGTTTTTTCTCTTTGAAGACGTTTCGCTTCTCATCCAAGAAGCTTCTTCAGCTCTGACTGGATGATGGGGAATGGAAGGATTTATATAATAATAATAATAATGATGATGATGATGATGTTGGAAGGGGCCTTGGAGGTCATCTAGTCCAACCCCCTGCTGAGGCAGGAAACCCTATACCATTTTGGACAAATGGCTGTCCAGTCTCTTCTTAAAAACTTTCAGTGTTGGAGCATTCACCGCTTCTGGTGGCAGATTGTTTCACTGGTTGATTGTTCTAACTGTCAGGAATTTTCTGCCCTGTGCCCTGCCCCATCCTTGGGAGAGCAGTGTAACCCTCCATCCTGAAGCAGAACAGCCCAACATCTGAGGGATGTTTCTGAGCATGTGCAGAATAACTTCTCCTTCTGAACCTGAATGAGTTTCTGAGAAGACCCAAGGATGGGGCAGGACTCAGGGCAGAAAACATCCTGCAGCCAAGAAGGGTCCACACACCTTTGCACCACTCAGGTGACCCTGAGGACACAGGTAAAGCTCCAAATGGCCTCAAGGACTCTCTAAAAGGATGCAAATGACTAGCTCTCTGCAATCCTTCTATTCCCCACCATCCGGTCAGAGCTGAAGAAGCTTCTTGGATGAGAAGCGAAAGGTCTTCAAAGAAAAAGTCCAGTTGTCTCCTGAACAAGCACCTTTGGGACATGTAGATGTAAAATTCCCTTCCAGATAAGAACACTCAAGATTTGCAGGGGGCCCAATTTATCCCAAAGCAAGCGTGTGTTGTCTGTGTATCTGAATGGGCTGCAGTTGCCAAACAAACAGCCCCTAATTCATCACCTCTTCCTTTCCTTCCTTCCTTCTTCCTCTCTCCGTATCAGAATGAAAGCTCAAGGGGACGTATTAAGATTTTTGTGGAGAGAAAACCCTGCCAGTTCAGCCCTGAGTAATCCATCCAAATCTAACACATTCTTATTTTGATCTCAAAAAAAAAAAAAAAAAAAAAAATCATAGCAACAGTAGACATATACCTCGTGTGCTCAAATACGCTTGAATAAATCTAGGATGGGAACATACGTGGAAGAATGTGTATGTTTTAATAATTAATCTAATTGTTAGCATTGGAAAGCTCATTAGGCACAAGCGCATAAAAATTGAAACACACAAACGCGTGCACGCGCACGCAAACATACACACAAACACAGAACCTAAGCCTTTGACAGCTCTTTCGTGCAGGCCTTTTTATTCTCTCCCTTTTATCATCTTTTTCATTCCCCAATTGATGGGACCCTCAAGTTCTAGGCTTTGCTTCTGACTTTAAGGCAGAAAGTTTTTTGGGGGGGTGTCATTCAGAAAAGGATCTCCTAAGTTGTCTCCTCCTCTTCCTCCTCCTCCTCCTCCTCCTCCTCCTCCCACTCCTCCTCTTTTCTTTTCCCACAGAATGCTACCCAACCCATCCCCAAGGCCTTACACAGTCTATATGCCTCTTCAGGTGACAGCCCTAGGCTGGTCTTACCTAAGAAGAGTTTGACCTCCTAAGTGTTTGGATGGGAGACCACCAGGAAATTTTTAGGGCTTTACACTGGATGGTGAAGTTGAAATTTTTTCCCCCCTGTTGCTGTAAAGAAAGTCACCAGGAGTCAAGAATCAAGACAAAGGAGATTTTACTTTCATCTTTTTAAAAGACCAAAAATCTAGCCAGGGACTAATGATGATTTAAAATCTTTGCTCTTTCCCAAACTGAATGTATGTTCTGACTTATGTATTGGGCTCTGCCTTTTGCTTTCTGGGTTGTTTCCTAGGCTGAGTGACGGCTGATTTAATCATGGTTGCTTGAGCAAAAGCAAAACAAGGAACCCACAGTCTGGTTTACAAATAAAAATAGCTGGATTTTTCCAACAATGTGCTAAGCCAAATCCAAATAAAAATCAACTGGCTGCATGGGATCTCTATGCTTAACCAGCTACCTGAAAGGCACGGAAGCCCCATTTACAAACTTTGTGAAGCATGATTAATTTTAACCTTGAATGATCTAAGCTGCCCACTGTTTAGGATTCTGAAACTCAGTTTGCACAGTCCGGTGACTGAATTAACCCAGGTGTAAAACAACATGTGGAAAGTATCCAAAACCAAATTCAAGGCAGAAAGAAAACCCCTCCCCAAGTAACTACGGTTAACACTAACCGGTTTCAGCATGGGGCAGGAATGTCAGTTAATTAGCTGCAAGGGAACCGACCAGGTTAAACTGTTGTACAACCCATGAATCACTGTGCAAGATGTGGCTCGTTGGGGGTCCAGCAATCGGAGTGGGGGGGGGGAATTTAACCCTTACCTTTCCCATGGGGGTGAGAGCCCAACCCGAATCACACAAGGTTTCTTTAGGGGGTGAGAGCAGAGATTAAACCTTGATCCTGTAGGGTGAAGCCAGCCAGCCAGCTATCCCAGCAAAGGAATGAGTCTGGAACACCTCCTCTTCAAACCGATCTAAATGCTTTGGTCAACCAAATGCTCTGATAATGGGAGGGGGGGTGCGATTGGAGACAGCCCCCCCTTCCAGGATCCTTTCATTATCTCTCTCTAATTGGGGCTGAAGCAGAGAGGGAGGTGTGGTGGGGGGAGAGGCTGGGTGTCAGAAAAGCAGCTGACCGGTGGGGTTGACAAGGACGGGCTGAGAGGGTGACATCTGAAAAGGGAAAGAAGGCTGGGGGGGGGGCAGCTGGGGGGGGGAGGTCGGAGTCCAATGGAAGGCAGGCCCAAGGGTGCAGGGCTGTTGCTAAGAGACGGGATGCTGGCGAAGTTCTCTCTGCAGCGTTACCCTGACCTTATGCAAATGGGGGGCTGCCAGGGCTTTGTTAGGGGGGGGTGAGGCTTCCACCCGCCATGTCACCCATACCTGGCATCCAGCCTTTTCTTCTGGTGTCCTCTAAACCATCCTCAGCAGGTGAGAGGGCGAGGTGAGAGGGGGGTGGGTGGGAGATGCCTTTTCCGGAAGGGCCACTGTTCGTCACATAACAATTCCCCTCTCCAATACAAAGATATACTGCTCTTAAGCATGGCGGCTTCTCTGAGAGAACACTACTAACAACTCTTGGCAAACTTCACTCTTTTTGAAGCCTTTGCCTAATGACTGTTAATATCTATCTCAAGCAAATTTTCATCAGACAAAATCTCCGTCCACTTGAGTCTTGTGTGAACCTATAGGGGACAAAGACCTGGATGGTTGGTTTCAGTAAATCGGGGCTGATGTCCCATTTCTTTGTAGAGTATCTCATTACTTTCCTTGCTGAATTTCACCAAAAGTCAGCCAGAAAAACTCACTGTACTTAATTTCCCTCCCCACAACCACCCCACAACCCAACCAGCCAACTTGGACAGCAGGCTGGGTTCCTGAAGTCTTTGGAAAGCTAACCCTAAAAGCTCTACCTATATCACTCGGAGTCTGATCCGGCTTGTGGGCTTTTTTTTTTTTCGGGAAAAGTCTCGCAGCAGTTCTCTAAGTTATAGGCGAAATCTCTGCCTCCTGCCTTAAGGCCTCCACTCCAGGGCTGCTTGGGCAGGTGTAAGAGCGGAACATCGGCCCCTCGCGAAGGACCCTCGGCCAAAGGAAGCGGCGATTCCTCCCTCCCTCCCTCCCTCTCGCCCCGGTCTCCCTCGGAGGCAGATGGGAATCAAGTGGCGGGGAGTGAAAGGGCTCCGCCGCCCCGGGGGCCGCCCGGCCGTCGTCTGCGGGGTCGGGGGCGCTGGGCGAGGCCAGGCGAGGGCAAAGCTCCAGACGGCCGGCCCTGTTTGCAAGCGGCGATTGAATTTCGCCCGGCAAAGTTCACCGTCTCCAACGCGAAAGCGTCTCCGATGAAATATTAATCGCCGGAGGGAGCCACGCGGGTTGCGGAGGGGGCGAGACGGAGGACCGTCCCCAAGCGAATAAATACCGCAGCCACCGCGTAAATCCCACCGCCACGTCTCCACTCTCTAGGGCGGGCCGCTCTTGGGCTCGTTGTCTTTCCCTTGCTCGGCTTTTTTTCCTATTTCTTCCTTACTAGGTCGTCCGAATTCGAGGAAAGAAAGAAAGAAAGAAAGAAAGAGAGAGAGAGAGAGAGAGAGAGAGAGAGAGAGAGAGAGAGAGAGAGAGAGAGAGAGAGAGAGAGAGAAAGAAAGAAAGAAAGAAAGAAAGAAAGAAAGAAAGAAAGAAAGAAAAGAAAGGGTGGGTTTTTTTCTGGTCTTTCAGCCGTCCCGTTCGGGGGCTCAGAGCACGTGGGAACGTGCTATCAAGACTCGAACAAAAAGGGGGGCTTTCAGAGCGGGCCGTCAAGCGCTGTTGGAGCCAACTTGGGGGGAGGGCAGCGGGTTGGGGAACAGTTGGGGTAACGTTTGCGGAAGAGCTGCGGCTATTGATTCAGTGTAGGCTAAAAGATGCGCAACTGGTTCCCGTCAAACTTCAAATCTGAGGTTACGCAGAGAGCTTCTGCACTGGAGACAAATTCCGTGTGTGTCCAATCACAGTTCTTCCAATAAAGCATTCTATTCTATTCTATTCTATTCTATTCTATTCTATTCTATTCTATTCTATTCTATTCTATTCTAGTTCCTGCATTGCCGGCATAACATTTTACTTCCTAGGATACTCCCCCCCTCCCAAAAAAGTCAGATTCCATTATTCATTATTTTATTTTCCTCTTTTTTTGCCCTTAGAATTCCCTATTCTCCAGTCCTGGGAACTCTCCAACCCTCACCCCACTTTTCCACAGTGGCAGGGATTAGTCCTGGCAATTGGGGTGTGGTACCTCTACTCCAAGGCCGCAGACTAAGACCCTGAAAACATCAGCCCCCCCCCAAAAAAAACCCAGCCTCTCAGACAAAACCTGATTTCACGCGGTTATTTCTAGTACGTGTGGTCGGGGGGGGGGGGAAATCGTCTAAGGGGTATTCGTATATCCCACTCTATTAAATTTTGGGATGGAACTGGAATTCGGTTTATACTGGCGTGCACATTAAATCGAATTTATTTTCCTTCTCGCCTCCTTTGCAACTTTGGAGGGGTTCGGCCCACTTTTGGGGGTGTCTCCCTCCCCGCAGGTCACTCCTAAGCCCGATACTCCGCCAAGATGGTGGGGGGGATTCGAAAGAGTTGCTCATGGCAACTCTCTCACACTTTGTTTCTCACTCTCTTTTACACCATCTCTCAATCTACTTCCTTCCTTCCTTCCTTGATTCATTCATTCATTCATTCATTCCTCCCTCTTCTTTCTTTCTTTCTTTCTTTCTTTCTTTTTTCTTTTTCTTTCTTTCTTTCCTCCCTCCCTCTCTCACACTTTGTTTCTCACTCTCTTTTACACCATCTCTCAATCTACTTCCTTTCTTGATTCATTCATTCATTCCTCCCTCTTCTTTCTTTTCTTTCTTTTTTCTTTTTCTTTCTTTCTTTCCTCCCTCCCTCTCTCACACTTAGTTTCTCACTCTCTTTTACACCTCTCAGTCTACTTCCTTCCTTCCTTCCTTCCTTCCTTCCCAACCAACTATAATAATAGCAATAATATCTGCCTCTCCCGGTTCTTGGGAAGAATTTGATAATATTCCTTCCTTCCTTCCTTCCTTCCTTCCTTCCTTCCTTCCTTCCTTCCTTCCTTCCTTCCTTCCTTCCTTCCTTCCTTCCTTCCTTCCCCGCACCCAGAAACTAATGATAGCATTTATTTACATATAGATTCAGCAACCCAAACATTCAAAAATCGCCTGACCCACCATGTATTTGCTTTAACACATTGGACAGTAAAATTATCCATATTATTATTATGCTCATAATAAGTCACTAGAATAAAAAAAAAAAAAAGCGGACCGGTTTAAGGGACCGGGAAATGCTTTATTTCAATCTTCCAATATTTTTTTTTTTTCCTATCTGGTTCTCCTGTTTTTTCTGTCCCGACCCAGGATAGAAACACGTTCAGGTGCTGAGATATTTTCTCGGGGTTTATCCTAATAGTCCGCTTGATGAAATAACACCCTTTTCTGCGCCGTTTCTCCCCAGGTTTCGGGCACACCTTTGTGGTGAAAAGAACTAAAAAGAAACACGTTTGCAACGTTATGCTCCACTGTATAGGAATTCAAGGAATTTTTAAAAAGGAGATTTTGAAGGGTGCATTAAAAATAACTGAACTGCCTGTCAGAAACGGGCAGCCTGAAACGAAGGAGCGCAGAGTTTTCGCTCTTCCCAAGACTGGATTTCGCGCACCTGTGGTGTTCGTGTGCACTGGCATACACGCGTGTGGCTTCAGCGAGATTGGTTCCTACGCAATCCTGTGTTTGGACCTGCCAAAATAAAAAAAGACGGCCGTTCTTTCTCCATTTCCCATTTAAGCCAGCCGTCCCCTACCTGGGATCCTGTAATCTACTTCGGAGTACAACTTCTCTTAGGCGCGACAAGCTGGAGAAATCGCAATGCGTGTGTGTTTGTGTCTATGTTGTGTGATGTTTTTAGTGCAACTTCTTCACCTTAAACCACACAAACATCTTACCGAACCTGTTCACTTGGGGGGGGGGAGATCTTTATTAACCTTTTCCTAATTTCAGTGAAAGTTTTTTTTATGCTTCGGTAGAATTCTGCCTTTGATATTTGCAGGGTTTAAATAGAGTCGAACCATCAAACATCTATAAAGTTTATTTGCAGAAATCTGAGTTTCTTACTCTATTGCCCTGGGAATCCTGTTTCTGCCCTAGCATTCTCCAGGTGCAATTCTGGGATGATCCCCATAGAATCCAGTGGGATTTATTCCTGAGAAAACGGACTTGAATTCTATCCATCCTCCTGAAAGTCTCAATATTTTGGAGGCTGGTGTTGCTTTGATCTTCTCCAAAATCTGTTTTAAAAAGAATTTCAACCAACAGAATTAGCTACTGTAATCTGAATTCAAACCAGCTCTCAAATTAATTAATCCTAGTCCCTGCTTTACCCACATTGGGGAGGAGATACATTTAATAAATTATCATTTAATTAAGATAATTTGCTCCCCCCCAGCTGTGGTGCTGATAGATTTAGTTTTATTTCGATTAAGCATCCAAGTGAAGGATGAGAGTTCCTTCTTCCTTTTAAATCCAGCATTATGGAGCGTATTACAGTTCAGATCTGGTTCGAAGAGAACCGGACTTTCTGAATGAGAGACAGAGAGAGAGAGAGAGAAAGATGATTGTTATAATTGGCACCACTTTTATGTTAACATTCAAAACTAGTTCAAAATTCTCCTACTGAAACTTGGGGACTGTTCCAGGCTGATGTTTTCTGGATAAAAGGAGTTTGGAATTAGGAAGCTTGTTTGGAGCAGATTATACATTTATCCGTCTTCTGCTTCCAAGCACCAGTTTCAGTTCTGATGTTCCAAATTTAGTTTTGAAGGCTACTCTGGATTTCATTTTGAAGCAGAAAAGATTCTATTGAAATTAATGGAAAATCCTTCCTTCCTTCCTTCCTTCCTTCCTTCCATCCTTCCTTCCTTCCTTCCTTCCTTCCCTCCCTCCCTCCCTCCCTCCCTTCCTTCCTTCCTTCCTTCCTTCTTTCCTTCCTTCCTTCTCAGCCAACTATAATAATAGCAATAATATCTGCCTCTCCCAGGTTCTTGGGAAGGATTTGATAAGTGGATAAAAATTCCAAATTCAGTCTAAATGTTTGGTTGATTGTGCAACCAATAACAATAATATTGTCTGAGTAAGAATGTGGACTCTCTCTCTCTTTCTCTCACTCTTCCTCCCTCCCCCCCCCCTCCTCCTCCTCCTCCTCCTCCTCCTTCTTCTTCTTCTTCTCTCTCCCTCCCTCTCTGTCTCTCTCTCATCTCTCTGGAAGGTTGAACTTGTGGAGGGTTTTGCTTTGTGTTGGGCTCCAGATTTCAAAATCTGGCAAGATAAAGTGAGCCAGTTCTCATTATCCTGGATACCCTGGCAAAATGGACAGGGAAGTTGGGTGCTAATACAGATAGAAGTGGAAAATTATCTATGACTCGGGACACACTGACTTGGAAAACTTTCAGTCCATCACATTTGAAATAAAGTCCTTCTGGATGTTTCTAGCTTGATTTTGTTTTGTTTTAGAGAGGACAACATTCCACAAAGCTCTTTTTCCCCCAAATAAAACCTCTAAAATCCTGATTTAGAGAAGTAGAGGCACCGCATTTCCAGACGGTAAACAGTTTTTCTGTGCAGAATCCCTGGCCCTTCTTTGAATATACCAATCCTACATCTTGTGGGTTTTTTTTTTTTTTTTTAGCATTCTCTGGAGCTCAACAGAACATGCTCCTGGGCAGTGGTGCAATGAATTATCATTTTTTAATACACAGTATAGTAGGTCTTCTTTCTGGAATAAATTATCCCCTCCGGGCAGTTCAAGCTAATGAGCAAAATTATCAAAAGAAACGTTGCAACTGCCACCACCACACACAAAACTATTCAAATCCCTGCCACCAAAAGAACACCTGGACAAAAACTAGTAAATTTAAAGTGGAAAACAACCATTCCGCTTATATAGTCCATATATAATATGTTTTACCATCTCACACAAAGCCTCAGGAAATGAAAGATGTTAATGGAGGGTTCTTTTTCTTTTTTTCCATAATGCCAATTTTGCAATGTTATTTAGTATCTGGAGCTACACCCGGATTTAAGCCACAATCTTGGCCCAAATATTTTCTGGATGTATATTATGGAAGGATACAAATTGTGGGAGGTTGTCAAGAAAAGATTGGACAAACATTTGTCCAAGATGGTATGAGGATTCCTGCTTTGGGGTACCTCCAAAGTACCTTCCAATCTATGACACCTTTAACTGACATCATACAGAACTCATTACATATGTGAGATATGCCATATAGAGACTATATACTCCAGCTTTTAGGATGATATGATTCCTTCACATACAGTATGTGGGGGAATCCAATTTCTAAGTTATTGTTCTTCAACCCCCTCAACTCTAAGATGTGTGGACTTCAACTTCCCAAATTCATGGCTGGCTGGGAATTTTGGGAATTGATTCCCACATATTTTAAAGTTCCCGAGGTTGAAAACCTAACCCTAACCCCAACCCTAACCCTAATCCTAGCTCTAGCTTTAATACCTAAACCTAACCCCTAACCCTTAACCCCAATGCTAACCCTAGCCCTAGCCCTAGCCCTAGCCCTAGCCCTAGCCCTAGCCCTAGCCCTAGCCCTAGCCCTAGCCCTAGCCCTAGCCCTAGCCCTAGCCCTAGCCCTAGCAAAGATGTTGAAAAAGTCCCAAATGCCTGCCAACAAACTTCTCTAGATGAGCTGGACTACAAATCCCAAAATTCCTAGTTTACATTCCCAGAGACTGCAAGTGTTGAAGTTGGGGCATTAGGATTCTTCCAGCCAGACTGGTTTTTTTTGCTAGACTCACCCTTCCTAGTGATGCCTAAAGTTGGCGTCTCTTGCCCCATCCAATCACAGCATTGCTTATTGGACACTGGCTTAGTTAACTTTGCTGGTCCCATGAATCCCCAGCTAACTATCCCAGCAGACTTTGGAGCCTCACTCTTCTTCTTGGAAAAAGCAACTCATACATGAATAAGCTTTGGGCCTTTTCAAACAAATACTTTCCCCTTTCTTTAAGACGTGTGAACATCCTTCCTTCCTTCCTTCCTTCCTTCCTTCCCTCCCTCCCTCCCTCCCTCCCTCCTTTCCTTGCTCTTATTTTCTCTTTCATTCTCTTTTACACTATCTCTCAATCTCCTCCCTCCCTCCCTCCCTCCCTCTCTTCCTTGCTCTTAGTTTCTCTTACTCTCTTATACCATCTCTCAATCTCCTTCCTTCCTTCCTTCCTTCCTTCCTTCCTTCCTTCCTTCCTTCCTTCCTTCCTTCCTTCCTTCCTTCCTTGTGTCAGTGCTAAATAAATTTCCCAGCGTGTATTAAAGGAAGATTGTATTTTATCAACAGCTGACCGAGGCTGCCATCTGATCCTTTGTCCTTGCTCTTCGAGTATTATATTTATTTAACCTACTGGGGGGCCACGATTGGAAGCTGTTTCTCCTGCTGGCAGGAGCTGCTGCATTACACACTGCCCCAGGTATCCCCATTGATTTGTTCCCACCCCAAAGTCCTTGGATCATAATTTAACACAGCGGCAGTTCTTATAAGGGTTGAAGTGTGCGGGCGCGTAAATAGGTTGAGGGTCTGAAGCCAGGAGGAATTCAAAACATTGGGCCCATCTGCAGCTTGGTAAGCTGTCTTTTTACTGCATAAATCCTAATTTGCTTTATTGGGTTTTTAACCATATGTTAAGGCACAAACCATACTTTTCTTTAAACAATACACACAGAAGATGGCTTTGTTCCTAGGACTGGACATACAAATAGCATTCAATTTGATGAGGCTTAAAAGAGGCAACTAGAACTTTGCTAATAGAAGGTCTATCATCAGAATGTGGGAACACAAGTAGAGAAAACTGAGAAAAATCACAAAATAAGGTTATCATTGACCTACTTATATTTAAAATGAAACAAAAGAAAAAATCTCTGTTGAATCCAGCCAGCTTCCTTTTATAGAGGCAATCCTCCTCAAGCCCTGTAAGAAATGAAAAAAGGGAATGAAATAAAACCTCCATTTTGACTTCAGTAATTCACGTTTGGTGAACTGGTTTTAAGCTGATTTTAACTGGTGTGGTTAAAGAGGTCGTATGACTCTAGCCATTATTTTTAATATACAGTAGAAGTTTTGATGACCTGCTAAACCGATTAACAATTGGAGACAGAAGCTTTGTGGTAGGAGCTGTCCAGCAAATGCTTCCAGCATACCTCTTTCTACTCAAAGTTCTCAGATTTGAAGGTCAGAGAGACAAATTCTACAGGTGGACAATTGGAGGATATTCTACTGATTCTATCAGATAGCTAATTGGATAATGGACTTTTTGGAATTCACTACTGCAAGACATGGCAATGACTGCTAACCTGGATGGCTTTAAAAGGAAATTAGATGCATTCATGAAGGACAGGTCTAATGAGAGTTGATTTTACCACTGAGAGGGATGGTAGACTCCCAATAACAATTACTGGAGAACAATGGGGAGAGAGCCATATTTGCACCTTCTGCTTGCCAATATCTTGCACTCTTCTGATTGACAATCAGAGAAATGAAAAGCTGGAATAAGATGTCCTTGACCTGAATCAGCAGGGATGGTTCATGTAGATGAAGTTGTTTCCCTCTGAAAATGTGACTTTCCAGCCCCCCCCCCAAAAGCCAATACTGAATGCGATAGACACAACTGTTGGCAGGCAAGGAGAGGTTAGTTCCTCTTATCTTGTGTCCTTCCTTTGGATACCTTGGTTTGGTCTTCCAATATCTTTTTAAAAAAAGATTTTTATTGATTTTTTTCCATACATTCAATAGTATTTATTCAATAAACGTGCTGTCTGAGTTTACATTCGCTACAATATATTTAGTTCCTAATCCTTTATTCTTTCCTCTAGACATTGATAAAATAAGTCCCAAGTTTGATAATATTTCGTTTCTTCTTTTTCTTTCAGCCTCAGAGTCAATCTATCCATCTCCGCCCATTCTAGTATTTTTTTAATTATTTCTTCATCTGATGGTATTTTTTCATTTTTCCAATACTGTGCAAACATAGTTCTTGCCGCTGTTGTAACATGCAAAGTCAAATATATGCTTTGTTTATCAGTCTTTTCTGGCACTATACCTAATAAAAAAAAGTTCAGGTTTTATCACTGTGATGCTGCTGATTATTAAGCCTTCTGGTCTTTCCTGGACATTGGTGACAAAGCAAGGTCACAATAGGAGAGAATATATCTGTGGGTCAGTGTGGAGTCCTTTGTGCTCTCTGAACTTGCAGATGTTTCATGCTGCTTGCAGATGTTTCATTATCTAGCTAGGTAACATCATTAACACTGATGATGGTATCTAATTGGGTAATGACACATCTACAAACCACCAGACAAGCTTAGAGAGCATCAAGGATTCCCATGCACGGTCAGTTGTGAAGAATGGCTTACAAGCCTTTCTTTTCGGCACCTTTACTTGAATATGGACAAGACCAATATATGTAGTATTTTGTTTTTTGTGGCCTCTGAGTTCTTCCCACCCACACCTGAGTCTCACATCTATTTTTATCCAAGGCTTCCAGATTCCTCTGTTTCACTTGATAAATATGGAAAGGATCTGGGGGTTTCTGACTGGGGAAACTTTAGCATTGTTGATATTTGCTAATCAAGCTTTCCTCAAGCCTATATTACTATAATGATCTCCTGGCACCTACACCTGTTACCTTTGTTTGCCTCCTGATATTTACCTGGTGCAGTGCAATCTTGATCATTCTGAATCTTTCACATGGGTCTGATGCTTCAATACAGCTTAGGGCTCTTCACTGGCGTTCTAATTAAGCCAACACCCATTTACAGACTGCTAACTCCAAAGGCTATTCCCAGTACCAATCTACCTTATCTTCCCTACAACCTTGTTTGTTCTGTATATTCCTCTGAACAGGGCTCTCTTTTAGTTTCAGGGTCATGATCTCCAGGTTCTGATCCTGGAATCAGCTGTCATCCTACCTTCATCTCTGTAGAGATTTGATGGCCTGTGGAAATGGTTTAGTTAGGGGGGTCTGGCTGTTTTGCTCTGTTCTTGTTAGCTGACAGCTCCAAAATTAACACTTGTCTACATTATTATGGAGGTTTAGTGTCTGGACACGGCCCAGAGTCCATGGCAGTTGGGCAGTTAATAAATGCAAATGAATGAACTAATCAATTAATAGATACTGTATACATTTGGGGCATTGTTTTTAAAATATATTGTTGTGTTGATCATTTATTTCCTCTCCCTCTTTCTTTCTTTCTCTTTCCTCTCTCTGTCTCTTTTTCTCTCTCCCTCTCCCTCTCTTTTTCCTCTCCCCTCTCTTTCTCTCTCTCTATTTCTTTCTCTCTTTCTCTCTCTTTCTCTCTCTCCCTCTTCCCCCTCTCTCTTCCTCTCTCTGATCTTCTACTCACCTGATAAGCTGGCTTCAAGCTGTTCTTCAACCAGCTGACACACATTCTTATTGGGCTAGCTCAGGGGTAGGCAACCTGGCTCTTTTATGACTCATGGACTTCAACTCTCAGAATTCCTGAGTTAGCACAGCTGGGCTAGCTAGCTCTCTCCTGCCCTGCCTGCTTCCTGCTTCCTGCAGAGACGCAGCAAAGGAAGGAGCCACACCCAAAAAGCTTTTCAGCTCTTTGCAACAGGGTGAGGCTAACTCTCTTTTTTACACACACACACACACACACACACACACAGAGAGAGAGAGAGAGAGAGAGAGGGAGGGAGGGAGGGAGGGAGGGAGGGAGAGGCTCTGTCTGTGTCTGCAAATGGCAGAGGAGACTGGGAGCCGCAGGGGAAGGCTCAAAGAGCTGCATGCAGCTCCGGAGCAACAGGTTGCTGACCTGTGTCATATACCATTCCAGACAAGTGGCTGTCCAGTCTCTTCTTAAAAGCCTCTAGTGATAGAGCACCCACAACTTCTGGAGGCAAGGAGTTCCACTGATTAATTGTCCTCACTGTTAGGAAGTTTCTCCTTAATTCCAGGTTGCCTCTCTCCTTGATTAGTTTCCATCCATTGTTTTTTGTTTTGCCTTCTGGTGCTTTGAAAAATAGGTTGACTCCTCTCTTTTTTATGGCAGCCTCCCTCCCTCCCTCCCTCCCTCCCTTCCTTCCTTCTTTCCTTCTTTGCTCTGCTCTATTTTGTTTTAAGGAGTGGAAACGATATTCTGCGAATTGTACCATAATCTTTCACCTGCTCAAACAGATGGGATAAAGACACCCGTGTTTGAAAATCTATTTTCTGGTGTTTTATTTATTTGCTTGTTTTGGGCTGGGTGAGATTTATGGAAGAACTTCTGAAGGGTGAAGGGGAGGGGGTTTTAAATTGACCAGCAAAAGGTAAGCTGCATAAACAAAGACAGACAATAGCCTGTGGTTTTCTAACATATGCTGCCTTTTCACCTTGCCACATCAAACCCTTTCCTCCTTATCTGTAGGCCACCAAACTTTCCTACCCTTTTCTAATCTTTGCTGTTTTCTTTTTCAGAACCTGGGAGTGTGTGGAACAAGCAAGCAAGAATATGCTAAAGGAAATCAGGAGGAAAGGATCAAAGAACGAGTGCCTCCGATAGCATGCCATGAAATCAATCAGAATTTGTGACGCCATGGTAAGGAAAGATAACTGCCATAGTTTTCTTTCCTCTCCAGCAGAACAATTCCTGGTTCTACTTGAGGCTTTCAAAGAAAGATCTAATTCTCTTCTCCCCCCCCCCTCCTCCTCCCCCCAGTACATACTTGGGAAACACAAAGCACCACGTTCTCTTTAGATTTGTTTGTGTTTCATCTTTCCTGGAGAAAGTGCCTTTGTTCTGTCTTCAGTATCGTAATCATAGCAACTTCAGAGTACAATGTGGGAAATCCCAGAAGAACGTGCAAACTTCTCCTAGCAGGGGTAAAAAAAAAAAAAGAAAAAGGATCAAGCAGCATTTTTTATTTTAATTTAATTTTGTAAAAAACATTCTCTTGTGGAAAGTCAAACTCATTTGCCTGGGCCTAGGTTCTCCGGCTTCTTATGATTTTCTTCCCCAACTTTGGCTCTTTAAATTAACACACACACACACACACACACACACACACACACACACACACACACAAGCACACACATCTCTCCCCATAGTCATACCTTTGCAGTCTCTGTTTCTAAAGCACAAATTTTGACCAACATTCTTATTAGTCTGTCTTTAACAAAAAACAAACAAATTACTTTTTCATAGTGTAACCAGAGAAAATCAGATAATGATCCCAAGAGATTAAATTCTAATGCATGTTTCTTTCTTGTCTTTGTTTTTTTTCCCTTTTTTAAGAGTTAGAAGTGATTAGACTCTAACTATGGTGATGTTTGCTGGCTGACTTGCAAAGTTTGTTTAACCACATTATGATGGAGAGGGTAATGGATTTATTTAGATAAGGCAAAGTGCAGCTTGCTTTTCCCCAATCCCAAAGCAAGGTCAAACATGTGATAAGGCTTGACACTTTCCTTCTATTTTTCACACACTTGAAAGCCAGCTCCACAACACAAGAGACAGGGAAGTCAACATGGAAATACATCCATACTGACTGAAGGAATAATAAGTCACTTAACATCAATGGCTCTTCATGCTGGTTTAGTGAAGACTTTTTTTCAAAAAAGCCACCGTAGAGTATTTCTTATAAGTTAATTAAAAATACACAGTTATCCAATGTTAGGAATTGTGACAGCCTTCTGGTCTAAATCAGTTTCCCAGAGATGGTTAGCATAAACTTAAATAAATTGTATTCATTCTTACACTGAATGTATCTATTTATTACTCAATCACTGAATCATCTCCTTAGAATATCCATCGATCATTGATCCATTGATACATCCATCCATCTATCCATCCATCCATCCATCCATCTATCCATCCATCCATCCATCCATCCATCCATCTATCTCTGTCTAGTACAGAAGATAGATGGATGGATGGACTTGGACAAAGAACGAGTGCCTCCGGTAGATAGTGAGAAAGAAACACAAGTTGTTTCTAACGTTACCAGTTTATGATTCAAGAATTTTTATATTTTTATTTTCCGGTGAAAACATATGCTCTACCAATGAGCAACTGTCCTTTCACAAAGGGCCGGTACAGAACATCAGATTCATATAAATATCAGGTTCCTGATTGATCTGCTTCAGCACGAAACATATTTTCATTGTGCACCAATGCTTTCCTTGTGACATAGCAGCAGGAACTTATTATGGATCTCACATTTTAACTTCTCAGGACTAAGTTCTCCAGTCACAGAGAGATGAAATAAAACTCGAATGGAGTAGAACCTTCTAAAACGGCAGCCCATCTAGAAAAATATTAACTGCTAGAACTCAAAGAACAGGACACCACGGAGTACTTTTGGGGGTAAGTATTCTAGCCTATAAGATGCTCTTCTCTAGCTACTCTTTTAACCGCTGAGTAACTACTCTGTCTACAGATGTCTCCACATGCAATTCAAGAGATCCACCTGACTGAATAATTGATAGCTAGAGATAGTCCTTGGCTTACAACCACAACTGAGCCCAAAATTTCTGTTGTTAAGTGAGACAGTTGTTAACTGAGTTTTACCCCATTTTACGACTTTTCTTGCCACAGTGGTTAAATGAATCATTCTCATTGTTAAGTTAGTAACACCGATGCGAAGTGAATCTAGCTTCCCAATAACTTAGCTTGTCAGAAAGTCGCAAAACGAGATCACATGAACTCAGGACAGTGCAACCGTCATAAATGCGAGTCAGTTGCCAAGCGTCCGAATTTTGATCACATGACCCCAGGGATGCTGCCGTGGCCCTAGGTGTGAAAAACAGTCATTAAGTCACTTTTTTCAGTGCTTTGTAACTTCAAACGGTCACTAAACAAACTGTTGTAAGTCAAGGACTGCCTGTACACTATTCCACTTTTCATTTTTTGTTCTCTTCTGGTGTTTTATTAAGTTTGATCACACAAACCAGTTTTAAGATGGACAGTTCTTGATATTTCCCATCTGCGCAAGAGCTGGTATGTCAGGATTTCATTACCAGGAAACTCAATTTTTTTTTTTTTTTAAGAACTCACATACCATTGTATATATCTTACAGATTTCAAATGACAGGAATATGTAGCTGGATAATATGTTTGTATTTCTTCCCATATGCTTGGTGTTCACTTTCACTTCAGTCCCCATCCCCAACTTTCATTGCTTCCATTTTAATAATCTCTATCAATATTGGGGTTTTTTTATCAGATGTTAATGTCAACTAGGGATTAATGTGCATTAATTGAATTTACTGTATTTCTTTTAATGAGCACACAAGGATTTGATATTAATACTGACGATCCTAATAAAACTGCTTGGTATTAGTTGAATTTTTTCAACTTCTCGCAATAATTTATTAGAAAAACGAATTAATTTCATTACTGTTGCCTGATTATTATTTTTTTTTTTAAAAAAAATAATGCAGGCAAGGCTAATTCCAAATTGAATTTCTATTATGAGTTGTTGGAAAATGAAACCCAACGTCTTGTCTGGCATTTTCTATTGCTAGATATATATATATATATATGTATATTGAAATATATATAGAGAACGTCCCGCCAGGAGTGCGTGGATGCCACTTCTGGAAGTCTGTTCTAGGCCTTGGAGGCCCAGGCGTGCATCCAATAAGGGAACTGGTTGTTCAATATTTGAATCCCACCACTGCGCATGCCCCAATCACTATCCATCTGTGGATAATGCAGTCCCTTATCTGACCTTTCTCTCCTCATCCCATCTCCCAGGGTTTTTCAGACATCCCATTAGATCACTACAATATAAAAAAGATGTTGAGACTCTGGAAAGATGGCAGAGAAGAGCAACAAAGATGATTAGGGACCTGGAGTCTAAAACATATGAATAACAGTTACAGTAATTGGGTACATCTAGCCTAGTGAAAAGAAGAACTAGGGGTGACATGACAGTACTGTTCCAATATTTGAGGGGCTGCCATAAAGAAGAGGGGGTCAACCTATTTTCCAAAGTACCAGAAGGCAAGACAAGAAGCAACGTATGGAAACTAATCAAAGAGAGAAGCAGTCTAGAACTATGGAGAAATTTCCTGACGAGAACAATTAATCAGTGGAATGGCTTGCCTTCAGGAGTTGTGGGTGCTCCAACACTGAAAGCTTTTAAGAAGAGACTGGACAGCATTTGTCTGAAATGGTATAGAGTCTCCTACTTGAGCAGGGGGCTGGACTAGAAGACCTCCAAGGTCCCTGCCAACTCTGTTATTTTATATTTTATATTCTATATTCTAGATTCCTTGCTTCAAATTCAGCATCCCAGCAAGAGTTAACCATGAAACATTGCATCATCTTGAAGCCCTCCCTGCTCTCTTTATCCAGCACACCATAATAAAAGATCAAGAGTTCCTGCTTATTATCTTATTCTTTTTTTCCCCCAGCCCCCACGTGTTTTACTAGGCATGGGCCAGACCAGCTATGGATTAACA